CAAACTTTCTATTCATGCACATGTAGAACAGCAAAAGGTTAATAATAAATTAAATTGTTTAATTATTTTATGTACTATCAGTGCAGTGGAAGAGTCTTATACTGAAACATGGCGGTCATGTTACTGATGGATTTGACATGAGCTCATTAGCTAAAGTATCAGACGGATACACTCCAGGACACATGATCACTGCAATAACACAAGTACTCACTGAAAGAAGAATACAACAAGTAAGAATAATAATAATAATAATAATAATAATAATAATAATAATAATAATAATAATAATAATAATAATAATAATAATAATAATAATAATAATAATAATAATAATAATAATAATAATAATAATAATAATAATAATAATAATAATAATAACAATAATAATAATAACAATAATTTTTAATTTTAATATAAATTTTTTTCTTGCTCTCTCTTAAGCTTCGCAAGCGTCCATTAACTACAGCAGAATTCATTCCTTTTCTTGCTAAAATTGATCCGATTTATAGAGAAGAAGAGGAAGCATACAAAGTAAATCTATTATTAGAACTGTTTAGGAACCTTGTTACTAAAAATAGTACATGTATGTAGTACAGTAGTACATGTATATAATTAGGAGCTTTGTTAATTAATTGTTACTAAAAATAGCATCTACATTATATTACATGTATTATAGGCAGAACCCTTCAGTGTTCATGCAAATTAATACTGAGAGCCTTGTTACTAAAAATAATCTATATGTACTGTACATGTAATTATAGTGTAAAAATAGAACTAATATTTTATACCTTTTTTGTTAATGTAGGCTTGGTTTAACAAGACTCCTCTTGGAAAGAAGAGAGCTAAAGCTATCAAAGAAGCAAAGGGAGAGGATGATGGAGGAGGAGGGAAGAAAGGGAAGGGAAAGGGGAAAGGAAAAGGAAAAAAGAAAAAGAAATAATCACAAAAATACAAAATACACTTATTAACTGTATTATTGTCTTTAATTACACATGTACATGTACAATGTACATCATGTATTGATAATGAATTCCTGATGTGTGGGCGGGTATCAATGAATCTAATTAACTGATCACAAGATGTCCTTTGAGGAGGACAGGTGTTGGTATGCGTTTGAGAGAGGTGATCATGAAGAAGCTGTTCGCTTACTACCATTAGTGAAGGAACCGAATAAAATTAAAAGAAGATATGCATTGGATGATACTAGTTTACTTCATTTGTCTTCAAGCAATGGCTGGTTAGATGTTACAAAAGATCTCATCACTAAATATCACTGTGACCCACACGAAAGAGATAGTGTTGGTAGGACTTGTCTTCATTGGGCTGCAACATATAATCATGTTAATGTGATGAGATATCTCATTGATGAGTGTCACTGTGATCCAATGGCTGTTGACAGGATCGGGTGTACACCTCTTCACTGTGCTGCTGCTCGTTGGGGTAAATCTGCAGCTGTTGAATATTTACTATCAACTGGTAAATGTGATCCATTGGCTAAAAACAAGTATGGGGACACACCATTTAAACTAGCTAAGGTGAGTGGTCACACTGATATTCTTTCTGTCATGAAGAAGTTTGGTGATATAAAATCATCTCATCCAATTGATTCTTATGTTAACGTCCTCCTGGTGGGTAATCCTGGAGCTGGTAAAAGTACTCTTAGTCATGTCATCAATGACACAGCTACTGGCCCTTTTGTTCTTGGTTCATTTAGAAATGTTGGAAGGGTAGTGCCCTGTACTGCTGGCATCATTCCTTATAAACTACAACACAGGACACTGGGTAACATCATTCTTCATGATTTTGCTGGTCATTCCGAATACTACTCCAGTCACAGTGCTGTCATTGAGAATCTGTTACAAGGTTCTGGTGGTGTGTTCCTAATAGTAGTCAATATATTGGAGAAGGAACCAGTCAAACAGCTTCATCAGTGGCTAACAGTTGTGAGAAATGAAGCACAGAAAACTCTTAATCAATGCCATGTTATTGTAATAGTCAGTCATGTGGATGAGATAAGTAATCCTGTTGAAAGGAGAAGGAGAAAGGAAGAAATACAGGAGATTATCGTAAAGGAAAGGTGTGATAGCGTCTTCTTAGATTGTCGTAAGCTTGGTGGGAGTGGTGTGGATTCCTTCTTTAATAAGTTGTCTAGTGCCTGTGAGTCCATTCGTAGTACAAGTGGAAGGAATTTGAGTCTTTATTGTCACATGATGTATGGTCTACTGGAGGAAAGGAAAGAGAATATACTGACCCTCTCTGATGTAATGTCTGCTGGTAAGGACAATGATGATTACTTTATACCAGATAAGAGAGAAGACGTCTTGGATGTTCTTGATTCGTTGCACTCAACTGGTTTGATGAGTGTTCTTAAAAGTAAGCGCAAGGTATGGGTTGTTGTGAATAAGGGTATACTACTAACTGAGGTGGATGGGATTCTCTTTGCTCCAAAGACATTCAAAGAACACGTTGACATTGCTAGCAATACTGGTATTGTTAGTGTGTCTGGTCTGACTAGACACTTCCCTAAATATGATCCTGGCATGTTGATTCGTTTTCTAAAGAACATGGAACTTTGTGAAGAAATCAATCCATCTTTCCTAAGAATGACAAACCTCCATCAG